TATATAATATATATTGTAATGTGTGTGTGTCAGTCTTGTACATATAATTTCCCATGTTTCTACGCCTACTGGGCACCCACGCCGCCCACGGCGCCAAACTCAGGCGCCCAAAGCAAAGTCGTGTCATGGCTGGTTGATATTGGGAAGCAGTGGACATCCGATTTGAGCAGTGCTCAAAACTCCAGTTGGTTGATTTTGAGAGCACTTCATGGGGGTGTGAAAACCGTTGTACAACCATGAACTCATATTTTCAAATATCGGGGATATTCAAGTGATACAACATGATACAACTCATAAAGGATGAGTTTTTGCATGGCTGGTTGATGAGTTCTGGGACTCAACACTTCCTTTTTGTTATCTCAGGATTCAATCCGGTGAATCCCCAAAGGGGTCAATGGGCCATGGTCCATTTCTGGGATCGTTGTCGGATTGAACTTCTCCAGTTACGACCTTTGTTGACCAAAAGAAAATCCCAAGAATATCCAAGAATCATTGGATACTGAAAAACCCCACCTTTGAAAACTTTGACCCCACCTGTTGGCATCTGCTTCTCCATACTCCTCCAGGAAGGGCCTGCCTGTGGCTTGGCGCGATTGGCTTGGCTTCCAGAGGGATCCCAACGATTGGGTCAAGACACTATGCAATGCTATTACATCTATATAACTCTGTGTATATATATATACACACGCATACGTGTATATATCACGGTATATATATATATATATCCATATATATATATATACATACATAATTATACGCACCTGTATATATATATATATATGTGTGTATGATTACATGTGGCACTACATTCACATGGATGGATGGATTGATGGATGGACAACTTACCCATCCATTTGGAGTCGTTCAGAAGCAACATGTTCTTCATGAGAGACATAGTACTCTCCTGTAAACTAACATATATATATATATAATTATATATATATACGTGGAACACCCACAATGAAAGTAAATTATTTTCTGAATCGGAAACCATGGCCTTTCCACATTGTTTGTATGTTTACCTCAGGGTAATAAACCCATCGTATGTCATGGTATGTTTTCCAATACCCACTTCTAAAGTTTTTTGAATGCCTTAGTTGCAGTCAGCGCATTTTTTTTGAAGAAAGCGTAAGAACTTGCAGTTTCAAAGGAGTGCGGAGGGACAATCATGGACACACCATGAAAACTTGATGGCATTTTACTCAACCAGAAACCCAGCGATCCAGGCTACAAGAGTCAAGAAAGAGGACGCAGAGAAGTACCAAGTGGAAGTGAGGTCGGTGAATATACATTGGCCGAGCAGGGGGGGTCTACGCTTGTCTCTGAACCATGTCACCATTAGTGACTGCATTGTTAAAAAAAGACGTCTTTAAGGTGTTGATTGTGGCTGCATGACTGCATGTATCTAAATGATTCTAAATGTTTCATGCTAGTCCTATGTTTTCTCTCGTACGAGATGCTCAACTGACTTTGGACGACTTGTTTTCGGGTGTGTGAGTGCTGACAGCCACCTCGTCACCATTGTACATAATTTATGGTGGAATAGACCCGCCATTCAAAAAATATTTGATACACACAAAGACTTTGCAGATAATACTATTCATGTTAAATGCTGCAGGAGACTCACGCAGTGTTTTCTTTCAAAGCATTAAACATGGCAGGAGCTCGCAGGACTTTGATTATCATATTATAGGTTATATAAGTACCTTCAACTTGGATATAATCATCCCTCAACAAAGATAGAAAAGCTTCAATTTCCATCACTATTTTTTGAGTCACGCATGTTACTAACATCTCGCTTGAGAGGTTCAACCTATACCTGTACTGTATATATATATATATATACACCTATATATACATACATATATATATTATATGCATATATACCTATATTTCCCTATATATATATATGTATGATACAAAATCTTCAGAATCTCCCTTAAGTGAGGCCATCCGATCTGCCAGGATTGACTCAGCTGCCGATCTCCGCAACGCAGACGTGGATCGCTCCGATCCCTACTGTCTGGTGGAGGCATATTTTCATGCGGAACGTGTTTAAATAACAGGGTTTCTCCCAATTCATTGGATATCTTATATAGATACATCTTGTACACATTTTGACTATTTATGTACATTATGTGTATATACATTATACATACATATACTTACATATTTGCTAAATGGGGTCTACCTGGCGGTCTACCCCCTTTTTTCAAGGTGGCATTTGTTTGGATGGTATACTTGGGGACCCCAAACAAAAAAATGGTTGGAATACTTGGGGTTTCTTATTGGATGGTATACTTGGGGTTTCAAAATACTTGGTCTTCTTGGATTCTTATACTGTTGGTATACTTTTTTTGGAATGTCTTGGGATCCCCCAGTTTCAAGAATGGGTTCTTGGGTTCCAAAAGTTTTTGACATCCTGATTTTGGGTTTCTCTGACATGGGGCACAATAGCACGTGGTGGAATAGTGACCACCCTCAAAATAAACGGAATACTGTACCTCTAATTCGTGGTATTGTTGGATAGCAATTGCCTACGTGTGGTTTCTAAAATGTTTCTATTATTATGTTGACTCTTGACCATAAGCAAGTCAAGCGCAAAGATTGGATCTCCATTTCTTCTGGGGAAAAAACACCAATATGATGTGTATATATATATATTTAGATATTACTATTGAATAGTATGTGTATATATATATATATGCAATATATATATATATACATAATTATATATATACACACTATGTATATATATATATATTCGATCTCCCTTTCTTTGTTTGGGAGATCTCGAGCCCAAACGATTCACCATGATCCAGTGGTCGTCGTCGCCATCGCCCGCAGGCGGCGGGGCCAGAGGCGCAGTTTGAACTCTCGGAGCCCCTGGGCCTGCAAGAATAAGACAAAAACAATGGGTAAGTATACATCAGTTATGTACATTATATACACGAATGTGTATACATATATATTATATCACAATATATTATATTATATTATATTATATTATAATATATTATATTATATTATATTATATTTTATTACATTATATTATGTTATGTTATGTTATATTATAAAAGTTTATATTATATTATATTATATTGTTTGATATTTTATTTTTTTTATTATAATATATATTATAATATCATATTTTATTATTATAGTATATTATATTATATTATATTTTATTATATAACATGTCATTTAAATATATTATACGATATTATATTATTTTATTTTATACTATATATATTATACTAAATGATATTCCGTTATATTTATATGTATATATATATATACATATGATATGTGTCAAGTCGCTGATTCCTAGCAGGGTGAATGTTGGCAGATATGCCTCTGACTCGCTGCCACATTTGAGGACCTCCGATGTATGAAACTGATCAGGGCAGTGTTCAAAACCCTTGTTGCTTGATGCTATCCTATAAGTTGAGCATTGCAACAATATCCACATATCTATAACAAAACCCTATATTGATTACTCATAACACTGATATGTGGTTATGCTGCATAGCTATCCTATATGAGCAAGGGTCAAAAGACGCTATGAAAGGCTTCAATTGCGATCCGCCATCACTACTCAAAATATGTGATTTACTGTGTGTAGCGATAGGGGGCCTTATGTAGCGATACCTCTTTTTAGACTTTGTTTATGATTGAAGCTTCCTGTTGGGCGCATGACTTTCCAATCTTTTGATGTCAGAGTGCGACACTGGAGCAGTCGCAGTGGGCTGGTCTTCCTGGGTAGTTGCAAGATGGCCTGTCGTCAAGTATATATGAGATAGTTACATTAAACAATATTGATATATTGGGGTATGTTGACCTATAAGGTATGCAAAAAACTAATTCATAACGCATCATGAGCTTGATGATGGTGATGATGCTGATGATGATGGTGATGGTGATGATGTTGATTCAGATAGTGACCGTGCTGAGATATGTTGAAAAAGCATCCTTGTGCGTCCACGGACGCTTCTCCAAAGCCACTGTCCAGGAGTAGAATTGCAACATGGAGCTTGTCGGAATTTCGTGTCACTTGAAACATACACCTGAGATCACACATTTTCTGGTCCCCGTAGCGATGCCCGAAGCGATACCCCTCGATACCCAGAGCGATACCTGAAATCCATGAAATTAGGGAGTACCCCACATGGTCACTTGAAACTATACAACTTGTGCTATAGGTGGAAAAATATGGGAAGTATGAACAAGGGTACCCTCAAGTTCTTACTGGGTTAGTTCTTAAAGGGTTCATTTGGTCAGGGTTTTGCCGATTCATTTTGGCGTGGTATTAGGTTGCAAAGGAGGCGGGGTGAAGAAAAAAAGGCGCCGGAAACAAGGCAGCACAAGCAAGACAAGCCAAGACAAGCCAACACAAGCCAAGGGCAGCCTCCGAGGTCAGATGACCTGCAGTGAGTCCGGCTGGTGTCTAGCTGAAGCTGTCGACGTCAGCCTTGGTGATCAAGTAAAAGTTTGAATTTCCCTGGAGATACCATCGCAAGGGGAATAAGAATCCGATTCCTCATCTGGATCCTCCTCTTCTAGCAGCAATTCTGCCTAGTTGGTGAAAAGGGTGCTGGGACTGTGTGTAGCGATAGGGGGCCTTATGAAGCGATGCCATGACCTCACCACATGAATTGAGTTTTGACCGTCGCACATATGTTAAGGACTGTCACAGTCCAACCGGAGAATCCTATGGTCTTAGTTTGGAATACTTTGAACCTGGACGACAGGCCATGTCATCCCATGGTGATCTTAAACATTAATGTCCCCATGTGTTGTGTCCATAAAGTTGGGACAAGCCTCCGCTGATCAAGCATGGCAATTACAAGTCCCCAAAAAAATGAGCTCTGGGAACATCAACTATTAGTTGTGGATTTCCATGGATTTTCCATATATGATTGATGACCATGGGGTAAAAGTCCAGAAAAACTCAAAAAAAAATCCCCAGCCAACTTGCCATGGAGATCCATGGTGTCTCCATGGCAAGTCGTCTCAGGTACAAACGGCGTTTAGAGACGATCTATAAAGATCGCGATCCCAGCAAGGCCGCGGCACCGGTGGAAGAAGCATAACTTTTAGGCCCAAAGTCACCTTTTCTGCTCCATTCGTGGTTAAATATAGTGATTAATAGTGGTAAGTGATTATTTAATAGGTAAGTGGTTAATTAATATTTCTGCTTTTTAAGGTAAGTGATTAATTAATAGTGGTTAGTGGTAAATATTGGACTGGACCCTAGATTCTCACCATTGGAGGTAAATAGTGATATAGTTGTGGTCAAGAGTGGTAAATATTGGACCCTGGAGCATATGGGTGTGGTAAACCAGCCCACTTGGAGGAAATTTGTTGGCGGATTGTTGCAGGCCCCCAATTTGCTTGTATACTTTATTGCGAACTTAAACAGCGGTGTTAAAGCCCAATGAATTTACTTGAATTGACTACTTGAGTGGGATTTGTCTAAACTTAACCATCAGTGATGGGCAAGCAACGATGATATTGGGGATAATCGACAGATGGCGGCACAAGTATCGTATCATGTGAACACACCATGTACCAATAGGATCCAATAGGTACCACTATAGACCGTTCCCAATTTACCAGGTGACTTATCGTTTAGGAGGACTAGCCAGTAGACTCAGTAGACCCTAAAGAACGGAGTTGATTCTTGTGTTCACCTAGTCGATAGTCGATGGTTGACAGTGCTGGTTGATGTGTAGTTGCCTGGATGGAAGAATACCATATACTGTGGGTGGGCCAGCGAAATCCTGCACCACTTTGGATGGTAGAAACTAACCTGTAAATAATGATAATAATGGGGTAAATCACGGATCAACTTGTGCAGGATTTCGCAACCATACACAGTACATCGAAGGTTAGCAGTTACATGTTGTGCTGAAAAAAGGGGAGAACCTACAGGGCCTGTATCTTACAGCGTAGGCCGATAAGGTGGCCAAGATGATTGAGAAGTTGCTTGGAGCTGGTGATGAGTCACCGGGATGTCGTATGATATCAACGTATTTTCCACTGATCAAACATAAGCTAGAAAACTATCAAACAACTGTCCTGAGATGTTTTTTCGTTTAATCAGAGCCTGGTTCTTGAACTTTCTCAGACCTGGTGGAAAAATATGGCTCTCAGCTGGGATAATCTCTCTACAGTCTATGATGTACCGATGTCGAACATGTCAAGTCCAATTTGAAAGAGAACAAACACTATTTTGAATATGACTATTGGATAATTCTATGGCCCAACTTATACCTAGAAACACATCTACTTAGATGAATTCAATTCCATTCGATCTGGGCTTTCTAGCATTGACAGAGTGCCCACGGGAAGTGATGACAAATTCGAATGGGCAAAGTTGCCCTTTTTATTCTGGTTTCCGGGGGATGGACGATCCGATCTCACGAGCACAGTGACAACCCAGATCCATGTAAGGTACCCAGGACAAGAGCATTTTCTCTACGAGACTGTGCCTGAGCCAAGTTTTTCACGTGGGAAGTTGGAAGGAAGTCGAGGTCTCCGGAAGAGGTCAGAAGGAGTGGTGAGGTCATTTTCAACAGAGAACTATACTGAATTGGGGGCTACAGGAATTTTAGCACTTCTAGATAATTAATGATACACGTATATATTTTTGGGGAGTTACACCGCACCCCCAATTTAAATGGGTTTATCAGACTTATCATTTACTGCTGTATTTGTTGACATTATGGAGATGTTCAGCAGGAATTGAAATAACATGCATGTCACTGACAGAGAAGGAAAGGCTTTGTTCTAGAGGAATGTCATCAAAAAACAGGCATCCCCACTGGATGAGCATTTTTTGGGGGGATAGCTCTATGTTTCACAACCTCAAGGCCGCTTGACTCGCCTCTGAAAAATATCGAACTTGGATGTGTAACCCACAGATGTGGACCTCGGAACCGACTCGGATCTGGGATGCACATCCGTTTGAATTGCCATTCGCGTCTTGGCTGAAAAACCATCACAAAGCATCAAAACCTCATTTCTACGTTGGCCTAAAACAGATGGACACCAGAATATGATATAATATGTAGATTTTTTGAAGTGGATAGTTCACAGCGAATTCACCAGCAGCGCGTTTTTTAAAAGGCCAAACGGCCCTTAAACTTTCTGATTGGCTTCGTGGAGTAGGAATCTGTCCACTTTAATGTTCATAGGAATCAGGATATGTCAAGGCTGCAATAATAAAAGTGGCTTATTTAACTGAAGGCTAAGATGTTATAAGATTAAGATCTTATCATCTATTTATGACTAACATAGCCATGGAAAATCCCAATGTTTAAATTCGGTAAACCATCTATTTCAATGGGCCATCTATACCATGGCTATAATAAACAATGTCAAGTCAGGATTAGTCAACATCCCGTTATTAATCAACCTCCTCCTCCTCCAAAAAAAAAATGTAATTTAAAAACAGGTGGTCCCCCAGGATTAAACCGTTTGGCTAGGACATGATTAATCAACCCCCTTTGCTGGAATCCATTTTTTTTATCCACATTTCTTGATAAAAATCATCACCCTGGACAGGACACCAAACCGTGCAAGGTTGTTTCCTCACTCTTCCCTCATAGGAACCTGAAGAAATAAATTAATCAACCAGCAGTGCTGAAAGGTAAGATTTTAGCAATCAAATCCAATGGGCTAAGGCTGAAAATGAGCCAAAATGGCTGCAGGTAATGCCATCACTGCCTCACCATCCTGAAATGTGAGATTTTAGCAAGCAATTTTTTAGCAGGATGAAATCCAATGGAATCTGATGAGATTCATGAGGTTTTAAGTATCAAATCTTATGACTCAAGCCATATCCAATTTTTTATGGTTCAGAGTTGCTTATTATTAAGGGGTGTTTAAGAAAATGACCTACAAGGTAGAGTTCTGACCTTCTGGGGGGGGTTATTGATCCGGTGTTGGCATTAACCAGAGGGTATCATGTTGTTGATTCATATCCGATAGCAATCGCTTTCAGGCTGAGTCCAGGGTTTGTTGATTTGAAAAAAATCTGCTGGTTGATTGGTTCTTCTTGCAGCTCAACAGTTTACATACCCCCCGCAAAAAATGTGGCTCAAAGATGCTTAACGACCCAAATAATCCTAAATCCCATTGTTTTTTTCATATGGGTGGTTCCATAAATGGAGGTACTCCAAAATGAAAGGTTTCTAGTGGAAGATCCCAATCTACAATGGATGATGTGGAGGTACCCCCATTTTAGGAAACCTCCATATGTTGATTGATTTGTTTTGCATACATTTGCTCCTTAAACACCATCGGACCATCAAGTCTTGTGATTTCAAGCTCTGGTCTTTTAGGGACACGGCAGTCACGGCACACCCTTCCAAGTTCCTACGGATTTACAATGCTTAGGGCAAAAACATATGAATTATTATTAATCCCTCCTCTTCTCCTTCATTTTCTGGCTTGATGTTTGTTCTTTGATGTTCTTTGCAGATTTTTTGGTTGCACGGTTAAACCCTTCGAACTTCTCGATCCAACAGGCTAGATCCCAAATTCTGTTCAAGCTAGCTGCTAGCTGCTAATCTGGCTATAGTTCACTTCCAATTTCTGGTGAAATCCCTATGTCCTGTTGGTTAAAACATGTGAAATCCTCCTTTTTTTGTGACCAACGAATCCCCATTTTTCATGACCCAAGGTCTGTTGGAGATACGCTGTGCCTCCGAACTGGGACGGCAAATCAGAGCTGCCCCCGGACCGCTTCGAAGAGCCACCGGTGGCCCGACGGGGTTGGAACGGTGCCAACAAAAAGGTGGGTTTTCCATGGTTTTCCAGTTTTCCAAAGACCGAGTTTGCCGCCCGCAAATGCTGGTTTACTGATGTTTATTGTAAGCCACAAAAGAGTTGTTGTTTGTTGAAGTTTTGGGATTAAGCATGATTAAGCCACGCAACAAAGATTGCGGGATTTTTCGTGGGATGTCAAGCACCAAACAGTGGGGATGAATAGAGCGTTTGAAATGTTCCTCTCTATGATATAGCAATAGGTTAATGGGGATTTCATGGAGATGGGGATTGTAATGGGTTAATAATGGTTAATGGTTAATAATGGTTAGTAATGATTAATGGTGATTCTGGTTGGTGGTTTCAAACATGGCTGTTATTGTCCATTTCATATATGGGATGTCATCCGAAACCCATTGACAAAAATATTTTTCAGAGGGGTAGGTCAACCGCCAACCAGATGAGATTTTTACCAACAGCAGCAACAGGGTTGCTCCACGCCAAAAAGGTGAATCTTAGCCACAATCAACCAAGAAACAGCAACAGGATTGCAGCAACATTCAGATGTGATTTATCTGACCAAATTGGTTGAGAAATCAATGTTATCAAAATTAAATTGAGATATTTTTTAGCCACAAACATCATGTTGATATGTTGGGAGTTTTCCAGCAAGACATGGTGATATATATATATGTATGTGTATGTATATATATATATACACATGTCTCAGATATCTCCAACAACAAAATCAGGTGGAACCAAACATTGGGATGTGAATTATGGCCAGGTTGCCAACCATCGAGGGAATTTGCAGGCCTGAAGTTCAACATGCGCAGCCAACTCACCTGCCGGTAGAAGTAGAACATCCATGACAGTGGAAAACAGAGATGCGACCGGAGCATTTTCTCTGTCCATTTCCAGCAATTTGCTGTCCATTTCCAGTCGTAAAACCATTTGCTTTTCGCCATGTGTTGGCGGTGCCCCCGTGATTTCAGGTTTGTTGACAAAAAGGCCTTGGGGATGCCAAGGGTTGATCAGCAAGCCACCAGTTGGGGAGATCCTCATCCAGCTGGTGGTTGAACAAATCATTCTCTACGTTTTTTTGATGTTTTTGGGATGATCTCAGTAGTTGAATTCTTCATGAAATCCATGAGTGAAATATATGAAATGGTGGAATCCTTCATTGAAATTGAAATCCAAATCTTGACCAATGTCCAGCATATGTTGGATCATCATGGGAATCCTGCATGAACTCCGAATTGACCAATATTTGGGGCAGTCAAAACTACCACCCACCACCCAATCATAAACTTCGTCATGATACCAAGATCTGGTACTCGCGCGCTGCGAGACAAGGCGGCCGAAAACCATTTTCGCACCAAGACTGTGTCGAACAAGCTCAATCCGGTCACTTGCACTGCGGAACAGTACTGGTGCTTATATCGCAGCTATCATTAGAATCATATATTATCATCTCATGATGATGAATCATGAATAATCCATAATGGGACGGGATAATCTCATAAATATTCCATTCCCCCAGGTGTATATATATATATATGATATATAATATATATATATCTATTAATAGGTAGTCTTGAAACGAAATGATACAATGTTACAATAGAAAACTCCTTGGTATTAACATCTCATTATAATTATGTGTATACATATTCAATATATATATATATATAATACATACATACATAACTATACATATTCATATGTATATGGAATGATATTGATATGTGATGAGATTGATTTTTCTATACGCGTGGCGTCCTTTTCCATGGCGCAAACGCGCCCGCCATCTTGGAGCTGATCAACTCTATGGGGATCAGTGGATCATTCCCGAAAATTCCCTACGTAAAACGCACAAGTTATGGTACAATAATAAGAGTTTGGTACAATAATACTCAGTAACATTGTGATTTCTCACAATACTAAACAGTTCTAAAATAAACATATATTTATATATATATATATTTAATGATTATATGATGATGACAAATAAGGTATTATTGTGAAAGATGTGACAATGTTTGTAAAATTATGATAGTTCACACAGTTTTCACTAAACATATACTCATGATGAAATGTTGTCAAATAAATCATGAAATGATTTGACACTGATGTATAATGATGTATAATGATGTGTAATGATGATATATGTTAAACAATATATATATATATATACATATATATATATATAATGATGTATAAATGAGGCATGAATCATGTTGTTGCTACACATTTACAAATGCCAACATCCTTTGCACAGCTCCGTCACTGAGGTTTGGAATCACACGGGGAAGTTGGTGCTCCTGGAGGCACCTAGAGTTTGTCGGTTCTGATGGATGAGATACGTTGAGAATGCAGCATTTTATTACTTTTGGAGAGATAGAACATTTCTGAACCTTACATAGATGGATGAGTTGAGATATGTTGAGATTGAGAGTATAGCATGTATTAATGGGAGATAGATAGAGGGTCAAACATTCATGAACCTTACAGAAATGGATGAATGCTGAAAAAACAGAGCAGCATTTCAATTTATTGTGTGGGTCCATTGATACTTTTTTAGCTGACCGTGACCAGGTGGGTCACAACAAATATATATATATACTGTATATATAAAAACAAAAATATACAATGGAGCACTTTACCAACAGAGCTAAAAGGTATGATGTGTATTGGCCCTGGCTGGAAATGTTCTTTACATGTAGAGTATGTAATGATTTCCATCTGAAAAAATGGCTTCTCCAACTTTTTTACCCCGTCCCAATATTATCTACCCACTAGAGTCACTAGACAAAACCTTGCTGGAATGTACTGAATCTATTAAGTTGTGCTCGAGTTGTTTCTTTTTAATCCTCATGTTACCGAATATTTACTGAACATACTTTACTTGCATTCATTTCGTATCCCATATTACATCATATTACAGTACACCCTCATATGTATATTCCCACTGTATCCGCTAACATACTCTATATCCTAATTCAATCTGGATTTGAAATTGTGACTGACAGCGGAGATTAAGTGTTGTTTGGCTATCACAAATTTGTCGGCTATGCACCCCACTATATCCACATACACATTATTGTTCAATAATATGGGTCTGAAGTAGAAATTGTGGAATCTGATTGTATATAGTGCTTATGGGTTGTGCTGTTTGTTTTATTATGGTTATCATCCCCCAATTTGTTGGCTCGGATTATGTCTTTTATCCCCCCAGTATATCCCCAGTGTGTCCCCATTTGATGGTTGGTTTTATCTCATGTGTCCATTTAAATAGTCATGCACTGGGCTTACATCACCTTCAAATTCGCAGTTCTGGTCATTTTTCAGTGGGGATTTACCCGGATTTGTTTGTTAATTTCTCTTGAATGTTTTTAGAACCTCTGGATCTGGATATGGATATGAAAAACAAGGTTTTCTCCCCATATCTTGGTCAACATGACCAGATTGAGCTTGGAAATGAGACTGCAACGTACTTTTAACATTATTCAACCATCTACAGCTCTTAACCAAGCATGATATCCCTATAAAATACATTAAAATACCAAGAGGACTTATCCTTGGATTTTGTTGTTTCATAACATTCCCGCAAACTTCGCGAAAATCCCAGAAATCCTGCAGGGCGAGTCGCTGGTCTTCCGCATCCGTGACCAGGAAGCGCTGGCCGCGACCGTGTTGGTCGAAGGGTCGATATGTCGGTCGGAGATCCCATCCAATGAACAGTAATCCCATCACCCTAATAATTATTAAACACCCCATTTCTATGGTCCCAACGGAATGCGGAAATTCCCAATTTCATTGTTTTTTTTGTATGGTTTTAGCCACATTAAACACTGATTGGTGGTTTGGAACATGATTTTTTCCATGCATTGGGAAGAATCAGCCCAACTGACGAACTCATATTTTCAGAGGGGCTGAAACCACCAACCAGAAACATATGGTCCCAATGGAATGTGGAAATTCCCTACGTAAAAGCATGGTTTCGTTTAGGTGTTTATTAGGGGGAAGGGAGTTGTAAAATCCATTGGTTCCTGTGAGTTGTTTCTCTTCGATCCATGAAGGGTCATGAAAATCCAAAATGTCATGGGGAAGATGACGGTTTGATAGTGGAATTGAATGGAATTGATCACAAAGATAGCGGGTTTCAGATTTATATGTTGCTAACGTATGATGTGTTTGTTTGTTTCCCGGGAATTCAAATTAGTAACAGTATTAGTATTAGCTATGGTATCCGAGATCTATCAACCAGTGAGTGATCATAGTGTCAAGCATCAAGTGCTGGGGACTGCAGTTCTGATTCCGCGAGTTGGAAGGGTCAGCTACTGAAACAAACATCTACCAGTCATGGGTCTTAGCATGTTCAAGATGGTATGTTTTAATATGTTCAAGTGCATCAATTGGTACAAACAAACACCAAAAGAATGATGTAAAAAGTTTCATGTGTTCTCGATCAGAATTGAGAAGAAACACCTTCATGAAGCATCCAAAGATGCTGTGTTCACAAAACACAGCAGTGCAGATGTCCAACAAAAAGCGGCGGAGGACGATGGCAAGGACGAAGAATTGGGAAAGGCTGTGATGCCTTATGAGGAGGTGAGCCAAGGTGCTTCCGGACTTGGGAATGGGAAACGCAGATCTAGAGAGCTGACTCGTTTGACCAAAAGCGCTCGTTTTTTTCGCTTTCGAATTGATCTTTTTGGATCTTTTGAGCAGGACTCAGGACCAAGATGGTACCCATATGCTCCATGTATAGTATATTTACTTACATGACTCGGCCATAAAAATGGGGTAAATGTAGGTAAATATTCCAGCACCATGGTTCGCATATGGGGTAGAGAAATTCATGGCTGAGCGGTACCGAAGTCTCGAAGTAGTTGCTATTTTCGTTTGAGCCATTGATTCAAAGAACCGCTGGGACATACTGAGGGAGGCTGTTGTACAAATACATATAGCCAAAGAACTAAGGAATTTCAAGTGAGATTGGTAGGAAATCTGGATTGTTCTGGAAGAAAACAACCTAACATATGATTTCCCGTCTCAAAGATTATTTGCGGGTAGCTTCAACTGGATGGAGCATATTAGGCAAGATTAGCCATATTTAAGTCTTCGGCAAAAATTGGCTACAAATTG